AAGTTTCTGAGACTCGACTGAAATGAAGGGTCTAAAAAACTGATATGCTGCCTAATTTCTGAGAGCATGTGATCAGGTGCAATAATCAAAGTTTCTGTTTTATCTGCATTTAACTGAAGGAAATTGTCATTTAACCATTGTTTGATTTCTAATAGACAATTATTTAAACAAGACAATTTATAAAACTCAGAAGTTTTGAAAGAACAGTATAACTGAATGTCATCAGCATAGAGATGATAAGAAACATTATTGTAACGTCTGATAATTTGGCCTAGAGGGAGGATATACAGCAAAAAGAGAATAGGACCTAAAACAGATCCTTGAGGTACCCCAGAAGGGAGAACTGATGTTTCCGACAACACATGATTCATACAGACAGTAAAGGATCTCTCAGATAGATACGACATAAACCATTTAAAACAACAGCAAACAAGTCCTTCAGCCTATTTATCATGATGCTGTGATCAACAGTATCAAAAGCAGAGCTGAGATCCAACATAACCAGAATGGTGTACTCTCCAGTGTCTGCTGCCATCAGAATGTCACTAGACACTATACTGCAAAACTAACTACACTATCACTGTTTGGGGACTGCACTCATGTACGATTTTGCCCCATTTAGCAAATCTGGCACCAAATCTTTAGAGAAATCTTCTTACTGCTCTGCAGACGATCAGCCAGCTCCTCCTGGTTCATTCTCCTCAGGAAGTTAAGTGTGATCTTCTCAAATGCCTCTCTGTTGCTCTTCCTCTGCTCATCATCCTCTGTCTGACTCTGTAACCATTCTGGGTAATCTGGACTCAGAACCTTCTGGATCTTCTTCAGCTCGTTCTTCACAAAAGTGATGATGTTGTCCTCCAGCAGCTGGAACAGAATACTTTATGAATGACCCAAACAGACTGAAATCATGGAGCCAAACATCAGATCCATGTTGGACACACTGACAATCCACTGGTCTACAAAGAGCCGCATGGAGATGACTGTGAACAGAATAGATGTAAAAAGTAGAGATGGACCGATCCGATATTACGTATCGGTATCGGTCCGATACTGCCCTAAATTACTGGATCGGATATCGGAGAAAAATAAAAAATGTAATCCGATCCATTAAATATCACGAAAGCACCTCACAAAACTTGCAACACGCCGTAACT